GGAGAGGCCAGCGGCCCGCCTTCCCACCCCCGCCCCGCGGTCCGGGCCCCCGCCCCCACTGTCGGGGCAGGGGCGGGGGCTCCGGAGCGCCGCTGACTGGGCGGGGAGGCGGCAGAGGAGGAGAGGGAGGCGGGGCGGGCAGGCCCGGCCCAGGAGCTGGGCGGCGCGACTCACCTCTGCTCCCGGCCTGCGGAGCCAGAGTGGCCAGGATCCCTCGCAGCTCCGACGCAGAGATCCTCACACGCTCCAACCCCTCCGCCATCTTCGCGACTGCTGCTCAGGCTGCAGCAACTCCGCCACCACCGCGCGCAACCAGGAAACCACGACGGACGGGCGGCGCGCGCTCACCCACTCCCACCCTTTTCCCCGCCCCCTCCCGCCCGCCCTCCACGAACGACGGTGGCCGCACTGGGAGGAAAAGCACTGAACGCAGGTTGACGAAGGGTTGGGCGGGAGAAGAGGGTGCTGCGCGTGCGCAGAGGTGTAGGCGGGGGAAGGTGCGCTGTGCCTGGTGGTGGAAGCGAGCGGCGGGGGCCAGGTGAGGTGAGGTGAGGTGGGGTGAGATGCGGCGCGCCCCGGGTGGCCTGGCTCGCCAGGCTGGCATTCACGCGAAGGCTGCCTGTGCCGCTGCTATGGTGACCACCCAGCACACTGCTGCTGGTCTGGGGTTCGGGTTGACGGAGACATCTCCTCCCCCCACCCCTCCACCCCAGATCTGGCCTCTCCAGTCATTTTAGGACGGAATCTTCTGCCGCAGGCCGGGGACTAACGCGCCAGGGTTTTGTTTGGGGACTTTAAAGATCTTGTCAGACGCTTGCCTTGCATGCCTGAGGCCCTGGGTTTGATTCCTCAGCACCACGTAAGCAAAAAGAAAAAGCCGGAAGTGGCACTATGGCTCAAGTGGTAGAGAGCTAGCCTTGAGCTGAAGAGCTGAGGGACAGCACCCAGGCCCAGAGTTCAGGCCCCATGACTGGACTCAAAAAAAAAAAAAAAAAGATCTTGTCAGAGTAATTATTATCATCAACAACCTTTTTTTGGGGGGGCGGGGGGAGGACGGTACTGGGGCTAGAACTCAGGGCCTGGGTGCTGTCCCAGAGCTTTTGTGCTCAAAGCTAGCGCTCTACCACTTGAGCCTCGGCTCTACTTCCGGCCTTTTTTGGGGGGGGCGGGAGGCCGGTGGTCTGTTGGCGATAGTTTCAAAGACATTATTGCTCGGACTGGCTTTGAACCGCGTTCCTCAGATCTCAGCCTCCTGAGTAGCTAGGATTACACGCGTTGAGCCACCGGAGCCCAGTGTATCAACTCCATCTTTAAGATCAGGAATCTGAATCTAGGAGAAGTGAATAAATAAATTGCCCAGTATACATAGTTCCAAAGCATCAGGGTCTCATAGTCTTTTCATGGCTTTTTTTACACCCTTTCCCAGCCCCCAACCTCCTGACTTTCAAATGCTATATTCAGTACCGTTGGCTCTTAGAGAAGGAAGAAGCTGTGTGATAATGTTGGCACCACTGTGGATTCTTAAAAAAACAAACAAAAGCCCTTCTTCTAGATCTAATGTTATTTTTTTTCCATCTTTGAACTTTTTTTTTTTTTGTCGGTAGTGGGGCTTGAACTCGGCCTGGGCGCTGTCCCTCAGCTCTTCAGCTCAAGGATAGCGATCTACCACTTTGAGCTACAGCACCACTTCCGGTTTTCTGGTGGTTTATTGGAGATAAAGAGTTTCATGGACTTTCCTGCCCGGGCTAGCTTTGAACTGTGATCCTCAGATCTCAGCCTCCTGAGTAGCTAGGATTACAGGCATGAGCCACCAGTGCCCGGCCATCTTTGAACTTTTAATTAGACCAGAAGACAGTTACTTTAGCCTTTTTTGACTGAGAACCTGGTAAAAACTATGATGTGGGGAAAGTCCCTCCCCTAAGGCTGTCTTCTTCCAGCTTCACAGAAGGCTTCTAAGCCCTCAAATAGTCAACAATTTTTGTTTAGACAATAAATGTACAATGAATCATCAGTCCTAAAGAAAGAGAATGATTTCAGTGGCCAGAGCAAATGTACTAATAAAAGCCAGGCATGGTGGTGCACACCAGTGATCCCAGCACACAGGAGGCTGAAGCAGAGGATCATAAGTTCAGGCCAACTTGGGAAACTTAGTCTCAAAAATATCTAAGGTACTGGGAAGGTGGCTCAATGGTAGAGTGCTTGCCTTTCATGCATGAGGCCCTGGGTTTGATTCCTCAGCACCACAAAAGCAGAAAAATCCGGAAGTGGCTCTGTGGCTCAAGTGGTAGAATGCTAGCCTTGAGCTGAAGAGCTGAGAGACAGTGCCTAGGTCCAGAGTTCAGGCCCACAACTGACCAAAAGAAATATATATATATATATATATATATATATATATATATGAATTTAAAATGGGTGGAGATGTAGGTCAGTGATAAAGTGCTTGCCTGACTTATGCTGAGTTCAGTCCCCAATACTGGAAAAAGAAATTTAATATCAACATATTTAGGTCTGTGTTACACTGAAAGGCTTCTGAGTTTAAAGAATTAAAATACCTTTTAAGTATTGGCATGGAACAGTATTCAGATGTATTATGAAATGCTTTTCCTTAAAGTTATTTGCAGAAGAATATGTATAGTATGACTATCTTGTATGTAGAAAAACCTTTTATTGTATATGTAAATATCTATGTAACATCAAAATGGTGTGGAAAACATAAAAAAGTGGTTAGTTTTGGGAAAAAGTGAATTTTATGATAGACAAAGTTTTAGATACTGCTGTTTGTTTTACATTTGTAAACAAAAAAAGCAAATTTAGATAATGGGTGAGAGAATAATTCAATTCCTAAAAATAAAAATTATAAACTTTGGTTGGGCATCAGTGGCTCACACCTGTAATCCTAGCTACTTAGGAGGCTGAGATCTGAGGATAATGATTTGAAGCCAGCCCAGGCAAGAAAGCCCATGAGTCTCTTTATCTCCAGTAGTTCAAGCCCTGACCAGCACAGGGGGAAAAAAAGTATGTCACATTTTTGAGTAATAAAATTAGAAGTGAAGAGTTACAAATAAGAATTTATAATCAGGGTCTGGGAATGTGGCTTAATGGTAAGAATTCTTGCCTAGCATGCATGAAGCCCTGGGTTCAATTCCTCAGTACCACATAAACCAAAAAAAATAGAAATGGCACTGTGGCTCAAGTGGTAGAGTACTAGCCTGGAGCAAAAAAAGCTCAGGGACAGTGCCCAGGCCCTGAGTTCAAGCCCCAGGACTGGCAAAAAAAAGGAAAAAGAAAAAGAAATTATCATCATTTGTTATTTTTTTTAACTCAATAGCCAAAAAAAGTGGCATATATCTGTAGTCCGAACCACTGAAGCAGCTGAGACCTCATCTCAAGAAATAAAGACAAAGAGCATAAGATTTACTTAGAAATTAAGACAAAAATATTGCAGGGCTGGGAAGGTGGCTCAGTGGTAGAGCACTTGCTTGCATGCATGGGGCCCTGGGTTCGATTCCTCAACACCACATAAGCAGAAGGAAAAAAAAGCCGGAAGTGGCGCTGTGGTTCAAGTGGTAGAGCGCTAGCCTTGAGCTGAAGAGCTGAGGGACAGCGCCCAGGCCCAGAGTTCAGGCCCCATGACCAGACCCAAAAAAAAAAAAAAAAAAAAAAATATATATATATATATATATATATATATATATTGCAAAACAGAATCCATGATAATTTAATTAAAACAGTGTTGAAGGAAATGTGTAGGCTTCTTGCTTTTATTATTTAAAAAATGAAAATAAGCATTCAGCAAAAGTAGGAAAATAGAAAAAACCCAGACATGGTGGCTCACATCTATAATTCTAGCTATCTGTGGGACAAACATTGAGAGGATTTCAGTTTAAGTCTAGCCTGGGCAAAAAGTTCAAGAAACCCTGTTTCATCCAGTAAAAAGCTGGGCATAGGGGCTGGGAAGGTGGCTCAGTGGGTAGAGTGCTTGCCTTGCATGCATGACGCCCTGGGTTTGATTCCTCAGTACCACATAAGAAAAAAGCCAGAAGTGGTGCTGTGGCTCAAGTGGTAGAGCGCTAGCCTTGAGCTGAAGAGCTGAGGGACAGCACCCAGGCCCAGAGTTCAGGCCCCACAACCGGACCCAAAAAAAAAAAAAAAGCTGGGCATAATTGTAAATATGTCATCCCAGATACATAAGAAGCAAATAAGAGTATCTCAGTATAGCCAGACCAAGCTAAAGCACAAAATGTTCAAAAAAAAAAAAAAGTAAAACAGGGTCTAGACATGGCTCAAATGTAAGAGTCCCTGCCTGGTAAGCACAAAGGCCTGGTTTCAGACCCTAGTACCTACAACCAAAAAGAAAATAAGAAAACGAATGGAATGTTCATGATAAGTGAAAGCTGTTTTTTTCAGAAATCAGTGCTAAGCCAGGCATTGGTGGCTCACACCTGTAATCCTAGTACTCAAGAGGCTGAGATCTGAGGATCGTGGTTCAAAGCCAGCTTGAGCAGGAAAGTCCATGAGACTCTTATCTCCAATAAACTACTAAAAAGCCAGAAGTGTAGCTGTGGCTCAAGTGGTAGAGTGCTAGCCTTAAATCCAAAAAGCTCAGGGACAGCTGAGGCCCTGAGTTCAAGCCTAAGACTGGCAAGAAAAAAATAAATCAAGCCGGGCGCTGGTGGCTCACGCCTGTAATCCTAGCTACTCAGGAGGCTGAGATCTGAGGATCGCGGTTCAAAGCCAGCCCGGGCAGGAGAGACCGTGAGACTCCTATCTCCAATAAACCACCAGAAAACCGGAAGTGGCGCTGTAGCTCAAGTGGTAGAGCGCTCGCCTTGAGCTGAAGAGCTGAGGGACAGCGCCCAGGCCCAGAGTTCAAGCCCCACGACCGACAAAAAATAAATAAATAAATAAATAAATGCTAAAATAGATACGTGTCTAGCAAGAAATATTTTTTAATAATAAATTTTTAAAGGATAGATATAAGCAATTCAAACTTAGCTCATCAAATCTCATTTTCTTCCTTCTTTGCTAGTCTCAAATTTCAATAAAGTAGTTAGGCTTGGTGGTGCTCCAGCACTTGAGAGTCTGAGTCAGGATTATGAGTTCTAAGCCAGCCTGTTCTAAATAACAAAACTTGTTTAAAAAAAAAAAATTGTACTACCACCTAATACAAAACCAAAGAATTACTCTTGATACCATCTCCCCTGCTCCTCCCTACATTCAATTTCCCACTCAAAAGTACATTGTTTTCTTCTTTCTCTTTGCTTCATTCATCATTCCCTCTTTTGCTGTTATTTTCCCTCAGGTGAAGAGAAATGAGACAGTTATACTGTTTTGTTCACAATCAACAAGCCATTCTTATTTTATCATTTTGCTTTTCATTTCAATTTCCACTCATGTTCCATCTCCTCCCTTTAGGTGAGTGAATAATGTGTTTGATATATGTCCATGAATATGTTGTATCTTTAAATAATATATAATGTTTTACGTATGTATCTGTTTTAAATGTAATTGATAGTATGTTATAGATCTCATTCTGTTACTGATCTGTTACTGATGTTTCTGTAAACACTTTACTTGTATTTTTTTAACTAACCTCACACCCTTGGCCACTGGTCCTGGGCCGAAACAGGACAGTCAGAATTTCTTACCCAGAATTTTTTGAACTGAAATTGAGAAAGAAAATCCCTCTCCACTGTGGAAGCCATAAAATGTAAAACACAGAAGCTGTCAGCAGCCACATGCCCTGCCATATGGAACCAGCTGGTCTGCAATGAAAAAGATACCAACATGCAAAGAGCTGCAGAGGTGGGGAACTGAGAGTCCTGGAAGCTATCCAGTCCCTGGTTCCAGTTGTTCCTGAAACTCCCTATTCTGTGGTTTAACTCTTCCTTGGATTCCATGAGCCAGTAAATCTGGACACCCTCCTCTTTTGTCTAAACTAGTTCAAATTGGACTTCTCTCACTTGCAACCCAGGCCTAACTTATTACATCCTCTAAAATACATCTATTTGTGTATGTGTATGTGAGATAAAAAAAATTTACCAATTTACCTTTTTTTTTTTTTGTCGGTTGTGGGGCTTGAACTCTGGGCCTGGACGCTGTCCCTCAGCTCTTCAGCTCAAGGCGAGCGCTCTACCACTTGAGCTACAGCATCACTTCCGGTTTTCTGGAGGTTTATTGGAGATAGGAGTCTCACGGTCTCTCCTGCCCGGGCTGGCTTTGAACCGCGATCCTTAGATCTCAGCCTCCTGAGTAGCTAGGATTACAGGCGTGAGCCACCAGCGCCCGGCCCAATTTACCATTTTAAGTGTATGATTCTTTTTTTTTTTTTTTTTTTGGTCCGGTCGTGGGGCCTGAACTCTGGGCCTGGGCGATGTCCCTCAGCTCTTCAGCTCAAGGCTAGCACTCTTACCACTTGAGCCACAGCACCACTTCTGGCTTTTTTCTTTTTGCTTATGTGGGGCTGAGGAATCAAACCCAGGGCCTCGAGCATGCAAGGCAAGCGCTCTACCACTGAGCCACCTTCCCAGTCCCAAGTGTATGATTCTTTAAATACATTTCTGTTGTTCAGTCAATATCAGAATACCAGATCTATTAAACAACTCCCCATTCCTCTAACCCATATATTCCCTGGCAACTATTCTTCCATGAACTTGGCTCCATTAGATATTTCAAATAAGTAGAATCAAACTATATGCCTCCTTTTTGAATAGCTTCATTTAGCATAGTGTCCTCAGCATTCATCCCTATTATACCATGTGTCAGCATTTCATACTTTTAATTTTTGTCAGTTGTGGGGCTTGAACTCGGCCTGAGTGCTGTCCCTCAGATCTTCAGCAAAAGGCTAGTGCTGTACAACTTGAGCCACAGCACCACTTCCAGTTTTCTGGTGGTTTATTGGAGATAAGAGTTTCACGGACTTTCCTGCCCGAGCTGGCTTTGAACCTCGATCCTCAGATCTCAGCCTCCTGAGTAGCTAGGATTACAGGTGTGAGACACTGGCGCCCGGCAAGCATTTCATTCTTTTGTTAATGGACACCTGGGTTTCTTCTTTTTTTTGCTGGTCCTGGGGCCTGACTTGGCCTGGGTGCTGTCCCTCAGCTCTTCAACTCAAGGCTAGCACTCTTATCACTTGAGCCACAGCACCACTTCTGGCTTTTTCTGTTTATGTGGTACTGAGGAATCAAACCCAGGGCCTCATGCATACAAGGCAGGCAAGCACTCTACCACTGAGCCACCTTCCCAGCCAGACATTCTCTTGGGGCTACCTCCAGGAGTGGAACTGCTGGGTCATATGATAGTTCTATGTCAGATTTTTTTTTTTTTTTTTTGAGAAAGAAGTATAGCATTTACCATAGCTCTACCATTTTATATCCTCACTAAACGTACATAAGGGTTCTAATTTCTCAATATCTTTTCAACTTATTATTTTCTGGGTGGGTTTTTGTTGTTTGTTGTAACTATCTCATGGTATAAGATGATACCTAAGTCTTGTGATTTTGATTTGCATTTCCATAATTTGAACATTTTTCCTGTGTGTGTTAGTCATTTGCGTATCTTCTCTAGAAAAATTTCAAATTCTTACCCATTCCTAAAATTAGGTTTCTGTTTCCAAAATAAATTATTTTTAATTTGCTTATGCCATCTAAGCCTCTTTTATCCTTCATGTTAACCAAAATACAGTCCTGATTTCCTTCCGTACACTCCTTGATTTCATTAGTCTCCTTCCTTTTTTTTTTTTCTTTGCCGGTCTTGGAGCCTGAACTCTGCGTCTGGGTACTGTTCAACTCAAGGCTAGTACTCTACCACTTGAGCCATATTGCCACTTATGGCTTTTTCTGCTAATGTGGTGCTGAGGAATTGAACCCAGGGCCTCATGCATGCAAGGCAAGCACTCTACCACTGAGCCACCTTCCCAGCCCACAGTCTCCTTCCTTTTCATTCACCATAACGTAGCTAAACTGATTTTATAAAAATTTAAATCTAAGGCTTGATGGCACACACTTGTAATCCCAGAGCTCAGGGTGAAGGCAGGAAGATCAAAAGTTCAAAGCCAGGGCTAGGAAGTTGGCTCAGTGGTAGAGTACTTGCCTTGCATGCATGATGCCCTGGGTTGGATTCCTCAGTACCACATAAGCAGAAAAAGCCGGAAGTGGTGCTGTGGCTCAAGTGGTAGAGTTCTAGCCTTAAGATGAAGAGCTGAGGGACAGCACCCAGTCCCAGAGTTTAGCCCCCAAGACCAGCAAAAAAAAAAAGAATAAAGTATTTTAGGCCAAAAATGGCTTTACCAGCTGGGCGCCGGTAGCTCACACCTGTAATCCTAGCTACTCAGGAGGCTGAGATCTGAGGATCGAGGTTCAAAGCCAGCCCGGGCAGGAAAGACTGTGAGACTCCTATCTCCAAAGTATAGTTCTCCTCAAAGTATAGTTCTCCAGGAGAACTATACTTTCTTTCAGTTGAGCCACAGTTACTGGTTCAGATGTCAGTAGGTGACCCAAGATAATTCAATTAAGAGTCACTAAACATGGAAAACAGTAATAGGAGAAGGCTGAGTTCACAGCTGCCAGAGCTACACAGCAAGACCCTAACCTCAAAAAAGAAAAGAAAAACTGAATGGGACTAAATGCTTTTATTTTGTTTTTAAGCTGGAGGAGCTCCTCAATTCCCCTGGAGGCTGAAAATAAATACAATAAAAGAGAAACCTGAGAATTGAAAATCTTGAAGATAATTATTTTAGCCAAGTACATTAAATCGTATCTGAAGCTATGAAAAAAATTTAAAGGAAATTCAGTTATGAAACAGCAGAGCCAGACATTGGTGGTTCATACCTATACCTAATGACAAGGCTGAGATCTGAGGATCCCAGTTTATAGCCAGCCCAGGCAGAAAGTCCATAAAACGTATCTCCAATTAACCAGCCAAAAGCTGGAAGTAGAAGTATGGCTCAAGTAATAGAGTGCTAGCCTTAGAATAAAAAGCTAAATGAAAGTGCAGCCCTGAGTTCAAATGCCAGTACTGGTACAAAAATAAAAGCTGAGGCTAAGTGTTGCTTAATATCCTAAAGTCCATTTCCAGCAATGAAAATGATACTGAGAATTCTTTTTTTTTGCTAGTCCTGGGGCTTGAACTCAGGGGCTGGGCACTGTCATGAGCTTCTTCTGTTATGTGGTACTGAGGAATCAAACCCAGGGCTTCATGCATGCTAGGCAAGCACTCTACCACTAAGCCACATTCCCAGCGACTGATACCGAGAATTATACAAAAAGGTTTACTAAATTAAAAAATGTTCATTTTCATGGGAAGTCTTTTATTTTTAGGAAGGGTGCTGATACTGGGGCTTGAATTCCAGGCACTGCATGAGACTCGAATGTTGCTCACTATCAATTATTTTAATTTATACATTTTACAGTAAGTTTTGCTAAAGGAATTCACATGGAAGAATTAATCTGAGAGAAGCCAATAAAATTTTGAGTAATCAAGAACTTGTGTGTGAATATGTGTGTATGTGTGTGTGCATGCACGCACTCGCGTATACACACACGCCAGTACAGGGGTTTGAACTTAGAAACTCAGTATCTTCCTTGGTTTTACTGCGCACAGCTGGTGCTCTATCACTTGAGCCACTACCAGCTTTTTGCTGGTTAGAAATAAATTTCTCAGATTTTTCTACCTTGGCTGGCTTCGAATCATGATTCTCCCTCTGATCTCAGCCTCCCTAGTAGCTAGGATTACAAGTATGAGCCACCAGTGCCTGGCTTAGTGGTTGTTTTGAGAAAGCCCCATGACCGACAAAACAAAAAAAACTTAGGCCAGGCAAAATGATGCATACCTATAGCCCTAATACCTGGGAGGCTGGGGTACCACTTCCCGGTCTCAGGATAAAACAGAAGATCCCCTTGAGCCCAGTTTTTTGTTTGTTTGTTTTTTTGGTCATGGGGCTTGAACTGAGGGTGTGGGTGCTGTCCCTCAGCTCTTCAGCTCAAGGCCAGTGCTCTACTGCTTGAGCCACAGTGCCACTTCCAGTTTTCTAGTGGTTTATTGGAGATAAGAGTCTCACAGACTTTCCTGCCCAGGCTGGCTTTGAACTGTGATCCTCAGATCTCAGCCTCCTAAGTAGCTAGGATTACAGGTATGAGCCACTGGCGCCCGGCAAGCCTAGTTTTGAGCTCAGTCTAGACACATAGTGAGACTGTCTTTCACACATACAAATAGTAATAAATGTATTACAACAGATTATAAACTTAGTTCATCCAAACAGCTTCACAATGATAAAAATGTAAACCAGTGGCAATGACAAGACATGAATGGTGTAAGTCAAAGAGTGAGCTTTAGCTTCCAAAAGTACCAGAAAATTTTCTTCAAGCCAAGTCCTCCAGTGTACACAAATTTTGGCATTTTAGTATGGGCACAATTCCACATAGGTCTATTCTCCTGTGTTTTGTATTTTTCAATAAACAGATTGTCTCAGACTTGACCCCATTCTTATTCCTGGGTTTCAGAACCATGTGTGCTCAATACTGCATCTCCTTTGATGATGTTCAAAAAGCTCATATCAACATTCAAGATTATATCCATCTCACACCAGTACTAACAAGCTCAATTTTGAATCAAGTAGCAGGGCGCAATCTTTTCTTCAAATGTGAACTCTTCCAGAAAACTGGATCATTTAAGGTAAAGACCCTTCTTGTTAGTGTATTATGTGTTTCCAAACTCCTTCAACATATAAATGTATTTGATGTTCTTGACCACTTAATATGGTAGGTAGAATTAAAACCTTTTTTGCAGTTGGACAAAAAAGGTTGAAGAAAAAAAATTGTTCTAGTCCTGGTTAACCTAGCATCATAGTGTTGATTAGCCACTTGTTTTGTGCTGGTCTTAGGGCTTAAACACAGGGCCTGGGTGCTGTCTCTGATCTTTTGTGCTCAAGGCTAGCACTTTACCACTTGAGCCACAGCTCCACTTCTTGGCTTTTTAGTGGTTATTTAGAAATAAAATTTTAGGCATGGGCTACCACAGTCTAGCTGATAAGCCACTTTTTTTTTTTTTTGTCAGTCGTGGGTTTAGAACTCTGGGCTTAGGCGCTGTCCCTGCGCCCTTCAGCTCAAAGCAAGCACTCTACCACTTGAGCTACACCACTACTTCTGGTTTTCTAATGGTTTATTAGAGATTAGAGTCTCACAGACTTTCCTGCCCAGGCTGGCTTTGAACCGTGATCCTCAGATCTCAGCCTCCTGAGTAGTTAGGATTTACAGATTTACAGCCATCAGTGCCCAGCAAGCCACTTTATTTTTTGTTTTTTTTTTGGGTCCAGTCGTGGGGCCTGAACTCTGGGCCTGGGGGCTGTCCCTCAGCTCTTCAGCTCAAGACTAGCGCTCTACCACTTGAGCCACAGCACCACTTCTGGCTTTTTCTGCTTATATGGTGCTGAGGAATTGAACCCAGGGCCTCATGCATGCAAGGCAAGCGCTCTACCACTGAGCCACCTTCCCAGCCCCAATAAATTACTTTTTAAAAAGGAGAAAATGTATATATCATCTGTGATAAAGGTGGTTTTGAACTCTCAAAAGTAAAAAGTTCATAAAGTGAAAAAGTTAGGAGGAAAAAGGGTGAGGTGTGACTGTAGTTGAAGTGCTTTGTATGCTTATGTAAAAATAAAAGAAGCTATTGTGAAATTACTCTTAAGAAGAGGTGAATATGTATACAGGAGTGGTAAAGGGGATAAAGTTGATGGCTACATTTTATGAATGAATGAGAATGTCACATGAAACCCTTTATATAGATGGGGAGGAAAAAAAAAAACTGGGAGAAAATGAAGGAGGATGACACTGTTCAAAAAGAAATATATTCATTACCTAACTTATGTAACTATTATCCCTCTGTATATCAGCTTTACAATAAAAAAACCCTTTATACAATGTGTTACACACACACACACACATATTTGAACTCAAGCCCGAGGTTGGCTTTGAATTGTGATCCTAAGATCTCATTTGCTAGGATTACATACATGAGCCACAGGTGCCTGGCTGAAAAAATTGTCCTAAGAAAAAATAATTTAGTGTAACTTAGCTGTACGGTGTTTATGAGGTACAAAGTAGTCCATAATATTCCTGACTCATTAGACACTGAAAGCAATTTCGAGTTCTGTAAGCTACACTCATAGTAAATGTGTGTGTGTGTATATGTGTGTGCGTGTGTGTGTTTTCTTTTGTCGGTTGTGGGGCCTGAACTCTGGGCCTGGGCACTGTCCCTCAGCTCTTCAGCTCAAGGCTAGTGCTCTACTACTTGAGCCACAGAGCCACTTCCGGCTTTTTCTGGTTATGTGGTGCTTAGGAATCGAACCCAAAGCCTCATGCGTGCAAAGCAAGCACTCTACTACTGAGCCACCTTCCCAGCCCAAATATATAATTTTTTTATCCTTAATACCTCATTTTTACTGTTCTTTTTTGCCTCCAGTACTGATTGATAGTTAACATGCTGTCCAGGTTGGCAGCCTGAGAACAACAGTCATACTGGGTACAATAGATGTAGAGCAGGCTGAGTTTGCTTCTACAACCACCTTTGGATGCTTTTCTCAGAATATACCCCTATTGTTCAATGATACACAACTGTACGTGGATTTACCATCCTTCTTTTCCAGATTCGTGGTGCCCTTAATGCTATCAAAGTCCTAATTTCATCCACTTTAGAGGGGAAGCCCAAGGCTGTTGTTACTCACAGCAGTGGAAACCATGGTCAGGCTCTCACCTACGCTGCCAAACTGGAAGGTACTTGAATTAATTTCTCAGGGTACTGGGTAAGATTATCAGGAGTGGAAAGTATCCCATATCTCGTGGACAATGTGTCCTCATGAGACTACAGCAAAATGAATATTAACGATTTATCCTAAATTCTGACTTAATTGCTTTTCTCTTCCCAGGGATTCCTGCTTATATTGTGGTGCCCCAAACAGCTCCCAACTGTAAAAAACTGGCAATACAAGCCTATGGAGCCTCTATAGTGTACAGTGAACCTAATGATGAGGTAAGAAGAAAGCAGTGCTCAGTACCACCTTAACAACCTCATTTAACCTCATTTGACCAACTGAACTGCTCTTCCTACCTTCCTGGATGTTTTCTCTGGATCCTTTATTTCCTCTTCATCTGTTATACTGCCTAAGCTTTTCTCCATTTGTACTTACTCAGATGATGTAATCAGTCTGTTAAAAACATTTTGCTTTTTCTGGTGGCAGTATTAGTGCTTGAACTCAAGACCTCATGCTCTTGTTTACCTTTTTCACTCAAAGCTGGCACCCTTCACTTGAGCCACCTTGTTTTCTTTGCTGCTGGTTAACTGAAGATACAAGTCTCTCAGATTTGTCTTACCAGGCTGGCTTCAAACCTTGATCCTCAGGAGGCTGAGTAGCTAGGATTATAGGCATGAACCATCAGTCTCCTGCAACTTTGTACCCTATCTACCCTTAATTTCAGACTTGCATTCAACAGCTACATTCCTACTTGAATGTATTATGAGGCATCTCCAGCACCAAACTCTGCTCTTCCTCTCCAGTTATCCCCTTTTCTAGTCTTTCTCAATGCAGAAAATGGCAACACTGATAATTGTTCTAGCAAAAATCTTGGGGGGAAAAAATTGACAACCCTTTTATACTCAGCATCAAAATCTGTCCTTTAACAACCTCTACCACACCACCATGATCCAATCAACATCAAGTCTCTCCTAGATTCAGGTAAATTAACTGGTCTCTGCTACTATCTTTATCCCTGTAGTTTCCAGAGCAGGGGCTGGGAAGGTGGCTCAGTGGTAGAGCACTTGCCTTGCATGCATGAGGCCCTAGGTTTGATTCCCCAGCACCACATAAGCAAAAAAAAAAGTTTCCAGAGCAAACAGGGCTATTTAGTTAACTTAGAACTTGTTTCTTCTCACCAACCTAAATTCTTCCATAGTTCCTTACCTTTGGTTTGGAGTTGTTGCTTTGTTGGTTGTGGGGCTTGAACTCTGGGCCTTGGCACTGTCCCTTAGCTCTTCAACTCAAGGCTAGCACTCTACCACTTGAGCCACAGCATCACTTCCGGCTTTTTCTGTTTATGTAGTACTGAGGAATTGAACGAGGGCCTCATGCATGAGCCACTTCCAAACCCTGACTTTTTGTTTGTGTATGCCAGACCTGGTGCTTGAACTCAGGGACTGGGCATTGTCCTTGAACTTCTTTGGCTCAAGGCTAGCCCTCTCCCACTTCAGCCACAGTTCCACTTCCAGCTTTTTGGTGTTTAATTGAAGTCTCACAATTACAGATAAGAGTCTCACAGACTTTCCTGTCTAGGCTGGCTTTGAACTTTGAACCTCAATCTTCAGACCTCAGCCTCCTGAACAGCTAGGCCATCAGTACCTGGCCTAAAATTTTGTCTTTCATTGGTGGGGTTGGAATGCTTAGCCTTGTGGTATACTAAACAATCACTCCAACACTGAGTTACTTGCCCTGCTAACTACAATTCTTAGAATCATCGAGATTCTTAGTAAGCAGTTTTGTATTTATATATAAAATAACTAGGAATGTGGCTTAGTGGTAAAGTGTTTGCCTGGCATGCATGAAGCCCTGGGTTCAATTCCTCAGCACCACATAAACAGAAAAAGCTGGAAATGGCACTGTGGCTCAAGTGATAAGAGTGCTAGCCTTGAGCAAAAAGCAGCTCAGGGATTGTGCCCAGGCCATGAAGTTCAAGCCCCAGGACTGGAAAAAAAAAAAATCAACGTCTTGAAGTGGCCGATGCTTATTTAATCTCCTAACATTACTCTACTCACTAACTTCTTAGCAGGTCCTCAAAGACCACTGCCAACCTTGTCTTTGTACTTAGTACTGTCACTTCATTGGAATTTTCTTATACCAATAGCACTTATTCAACTGTAATTTGTCATTTTATCATCAGTACTTGAACAGACCATACATTTACTTATATCTAATGCCTAAGAATATAACTCCTTGCTAGTCTTGGGCACCAAGCAGCTCAGGGACAAAGCCCAGGCCCTGAGTTCAAGCCCCCAGAACCAGCAATAAAACAAAAACAAAACAAAGAATTTAACTTGGGGGTGGGGGATAGGGATTCTGCTCACTGCTATAATTACCCCCACTGAACAAAATGTGAAAAATAGTTAAGGGTCAGGCCAGGAACCGGTGGCTCATGCCTGTAATCCTACCTGCTCAGGAAGCTGAGATCAGAGGATCACGGTTCAAAGCCAGACCAGGCAGGAAAGGCCGTGAGACTCTTTTCTCCAATTAACCACTAGAAAACCGGAAGTACCTCTGTGGCTCAAGCAGTAGAGTGCTCACCTTGAGCTGAAGAGCAGGGAAAGCGCTCAAGCCCAGAGTTCAAGCCACATGACCAACCAAAAAAAAAAAAAAAAAAAAGTTAAGTGTCAATAAGAGTTGAATACTAAATCAAATGCCCGAGTACAGTGGCTCATGCCTATAATCCTAGCTACTCAGGAGACTAAGATCTGAGGATCTTTAGTCCAGGCAGAAAAGTGCCAGTGAGACTTATCTCAATTAACTACTCAGAAACTAGAAGTGGAGCTGTGGCTCAAGGTGACAGAATGTCAGCCTTGAGCAAAGGAGCTTAGGGACAACATCCAGGCCAAAGATCAAGCTCCATGACTTACCTTACGCCCCTTAAAAAAAAAAAAAAGAAAACGGGCTGGGAAGGTAGCTCAGTGGTACAGCACTTGCCTTGCATGCTCAAGGCCCTGGGTTCGATTCCTCAGCACCACCTAAGAAAAAAGCCAGAAGTGGCGCTGTGGCTCAAGTGGTAGAACTCTAGCCTTGAGCTGAAGAGCTGAGGGACAGCGCCCAGGACCAGAGTTCAGGCCCCACGACCGGACCCCTCCAAAAAAAAAAAACCAAACCTAAATTGTTTTGGGAACTATATTAAATTCAAGTCAAGTAAATTAACTTAATGTGCTGTTTCAGTCTAGGGAAAAGGTTGCAAAAAGACTCATGGAAGAAACAGAAGGTATCATGGTACACCCTAACCAGGAACCTGCAGTGATAGCTGGGCAAGGGACAATTGCCCTGGAAGTGCTAAATCAGGTAACACAACCTAATTAATTTTTCCTGTTTAGCTACTGGTAGTTTGTCCAGAGATTCAGTTATTTTATTTTATTCTATTTTTTTTTTTTTTTTGCCAGTCCTGGGGCTTAAGCTCAGGGCCTGGGCACTGTCCCTGAGCTTTTTGCTCAAGCACCACTTCCAGCTCTTTCTGTGTATGTGGTACTGAAGAATCAAACACAGGGCTTCATGCATGCAGGACAAACACTCTACCACTAAGCCACATTCCTAGTTATTTTATATATAAATACAAAACTGCTTACTAAGAGACCTTTGTATTTTTACCATAGGTTCCCTTGGTGGATGCACTGGTGGTACCTGTAGGGGGAGGAGGAATGGCTGCTGGAATCGCAATTACAATTAAGGTGAGAAAACAGCTTCTCAAAAACTTCATGCATTAGGAACAGATTTATTTACATCATAGTGCATCATTACCATCATCTCTTTAAATTGTATATGGAAAGCTCCTCTTTGCCTGCCATTGTGATAATCTTACAGCACAAAAGAAAAACAACAGAGACTGAGCAACAGCACCCTCAGTCCTTTCCCAGACCCCACTTATCAGCCTACTGCCTACAGCAGTATATACCCTTCCCAGCCAATGGTCTAAGCAACTACAGGCCAATATCAGACATATATTCCTCTTTCCAGGCTCTGAAACCTAATGTGAAGGTATATGTGGCTGAACCCTTGAACGCAGATGACTGCTATCAGTCCAAACTGAAAGGGGAACTGACCCCCAATCTTCACCCTCCAGAAACCATAGCAGATGGTGTCAAATCCAGTATTGGCTTAAACACCTGGCCCATAATAAGGGACCTTGTGGATGATGTCTTCATTGTCACAGAGGACGAAATTAAGGTGAGCCTCCAATAGGAAAATATAAGTAAGAATAGGGCAACTTCTATGATGAATTGCAATTGACCCACAGGGACTTAGCTAGTTGATTTAATGACCTGTTTTGTGATAAACTTTTCAATAGTAGCAGTTAGTTAAGTTTGAAAGTTTCTATTTGTACATAGCAATAAGAAAATTCAGACCAGGAGTCTTCAGGTATAGCTTAAGTGGAAGAGCACTTGCCAAACAAAAGCAAGATCAAACCCCAGTCTCATATACCATATACACGCATAAAAAAAGAGAGAAAAAAAAGAAAATTCAGACTGAGTAGTATCCTCATCTGCTTTTAGAATCTATAAACTGGGGCTGGGAAGGTAGCTCAGTGGTAGAGTACTTGCCTTGCATGCATGAGGCCCTGGGTTCAATTCATCAGAACCACATAAAGCAGAAAAAGCCAGAAGTGGCAAGTGGTAGGATGTTCACCTTGAGCTAAAGAGCTGAGGGACAGCACCCAGGTCCAGGGTTCAGGCCCCACAAATGACAACAAACAAACAAACAAACAAAAAACTACTAGATTCCTCTCCTTTCTCCTCTTGTACTAATCCTTACTCCCTTCTTACCAACAGTTTGCAACCCAGTTGGTATGGGAGAGAATGAAACTCCTCATTGAACCTACTGCTGGTGTTGGAGTAGCTGCTGTGCTTTCTCAGAATTTTCAAACAGTATCTCCGGAAGTAAAGAATATTTGTATTGTGCTCAGTGGTGGAAATGTAGACTTAACCTCCCTAACTTGGGTGAAGGAGGCTGAAAGGCCAGCTCCGTATCAGTTTGTTTCTGTTTAATTTATGCAAAAGGAAGAGATAGGACTCTGTGTCTCCAAATACATGAAAAGTTTTCTATCTTTTCCTCTTAATTTTCAGAACCCTAATGAAAAATAGAAATTTCAGTATGAAATAATAAGCTTTTTGGGTTAAACAATCGAAAATTTTCCATATGTGATACTTCAGATCAAAATAAATTTTGTAGTGGGGCAGCAGACAAATAGGCCAAAACAGTAGTGACAAACTGCCCAATCACATCCCACTGACTCCTATCAGAGGAATGGTCAGATCCCAGTGAATCCATTATTCTATGTCCACTTCAGGCACTGTTGAAGAAGTCTCACTTTTCACCCAAGATACAGGTTCTGGTACATATGGATCATAAGTCCACTTGGGGAATACCCGTTTATAGAGGTTCATCAATACTGTGTCCTGAGATTTTAGCTTCCCATCAAAACTGCACTTCATGTGACCATGGGTACCTGGAAAGATTATGGCAAATTAGTAAAATTAAAAGTAAAAAATTTAAAATCAGTGTGCACCAATCCCAAGAGTAGCACTGGAGAAATCTATTAGGTCCCCAAATCTCACATTCTTACCTAAAGGTTCCTTGATGTGTCCCCTGCGGCCCCACTTTGTTCTCAGTTCCACTGGTTTAAACCACAGCACATCCTCTTAAGAATGGAAAACATAGAAGACCAAGATGAAACATTTACCCACAAAATGTAAACCCAGGGGCTGGGAAGGTGGCTCAGTGGTAGAGCGCTTGAATTGCATGCCTGAGGCCCTGGGTTCGATTCCTCAGCACCACATAAGCCAAAAAAAAAAAAAAAGAAAAGAAAAGCCGGAAGTGGCGCTATGGCTCAAGTGGTAGAGCGCTAGCCTTGAGCTGAAGAGCTGAGGGACAGCGCCCAGGCCCAGAGTTCAGGCCCCACCACCGGACCAAAAAAAAAAAAATGTAAACCCAACCTTCCCATCACAAACAATCAAATCCCATCCTCCTTCTTCATGTTACCTCTGTTGAAGAACATATAACGCACTACCGCCAGCTTGGTAAAAATTTTGAAAGGATGACCACTTAGAACAACTCTCTTGATGACTATTCTGTCCGGATCCACCGATAACAGATGTCCTGTAGCAATGAGGCTGTGCATTCCTACAGGGGACAGAAAAGAGGCTGTTCAAGAATCTATAGACCACACTCTCCATTTACTAGTTTAATCCACGGGGAAAAAAAGCAATGTACTCTACTATTCCCCCTCCTGAAACTACAGTAAAGACCACTAAATGATATTGCCTCAGCCTGTTCCCCAAACCTACGCTAAACACAGCACCCACTTTGGTAGCTTAGACTCACTGTGAGTCATAGACTGATATATTTTGAAACCATTGCTAACCTTCTACATACCACATGACTCCCGAATCTAAACATAGAAAACAGTGATGATGCTACCAAAAAGCCCATTCACCACTGTGAACTCAACTTACCATTACTTTTCTGCTTGAAAAGCAGCACAGATGCAGGAGGGAAAGTGATTGGTGCATACACTGTCACCACTACAGCTGCATCAGCAGTTAGGAATCTCTGAAATTTATGTTTGTCCGCTGCCAAAAGGGTTAAAGAAAAATCACAAACATTTTGAGAAACCATAAACAATCCAAAGGGGCTATATCACTGCTAACTTCTCCCAAACCGAAGGCCTTGTGCATGGCAGGCAAGTGCTCTTTTCCAACCACAACTTTTAATATTAAAAAAAAAAAAAAAAAAAAACTATCAGCATGTATTATTTGTACAAGGTCAACTGCTAAACCAAAAGCAGCCTCATTTATTTATTTATTCATTTATTTATTTATTGGTCATGAGGCCTGAACTCTGGGTTCTGGGCGCTGTCCCTCAGCTCTTCAGCTCAAGGCTAGTACTCTACCACTTGAGCCACAGCACCACTTCCAGCTTTTTATTCTTATGTGGTGCTAAGGAATCGAACCCAGGGCCTCATGCATGCTAGACAAGCACTCTACCACTAAGCTACCTTTCCAGTCCACTTTTATTTCTTTACTTCACTAATTCTCTTTTTTCCCCCCTGCCTCAGAGTATGTATGGTGGTATATACCTGTAACCCCACCAATTATAAGGTAGAGACAAGACAATTGTGTTTGAGGCCACCCAGGGGCTCATAATGAAAAAAAGTTTTTAAGAAGTTGTCTCAATACAACTGAAAGATGTAACTTTTGTCCTATGAATTGGAGCTTTAACTGTATTTAAGGTTCAAAAAGTTCTCCAAGTAGGGCACTGGTAGTTCACACCTGTAATCCTAACTACTACACGCGAGGCTCAGATTTGAGCCAGTTAGAAGTCATCTTGGGCAGGAACATCTGTGAGACTCTTATCTCCAAGTATCCACCAAAAAATTTGGAAATGGAGCTCTGGCTCAAGTGGTAGATTGCTAGTCTTGAGCATAAAAGCTCAGGGACAGGACCCAGGCTCTGAGTTCAAGCCCTAAGACCAGCACCAAAAGAAAAACAAGTTCTCGGACTGGGAAGGTGGCTCAGTGGTAGAGCCACTTGCCTTGCATGCATGAGGCCCTGGGTTCGATTCCTCAACACCACATAAACAAAAAGAAAAAAGCCAGAAGTGGCGCTGTGGCTCAAGTGGTAGAGCACTAGCCTTGAGCTGAATTGCTAAGGGATAGCGCCCAGACCCAGAGTTCAGGCCCCACGACATGACCCAAAAAAAAAAAAAAAAGAAAAGAAAAACAAGTTCTCCAGAGGATTCTGATGCCCAGTGCCCCACCTCATTTAGAAATCAGTGCTTTGCTGACACCCTCTGCTACAACAACACTTAGTGTTGGGCAGGCACTGACCAGTGCTTCAGCCTAGATATAAAGTATTTTAGACTTTGAAGCCACACAGAGGCTGTTTAGTTCAGCCACTGTAACATAAAAGCAGCCACAGACAATATATACACCTGGAGATTTTAAAAAGTATATATAAATTGGGGCTGGGAAGGTGGCTCAGTGGTAAGAGTGCTTGCCTTGCATGCATGATGCCCTGGGTTCAATTCCTCAGCACCACATAAGCAGAAAAAGCTGGAAGTGGCAATATAGCTCAAATGGTAAGAGTGCTAGCTTTAAGCTGAAGAGCTGAGGGACAACGCCCAGGCCTAGAGTTCAGGCCCCACGACCAAAAACAACAAAAGGTATATATAAATTAGTAGGCAGAAGTGGAGGATTGAAAGACCAGCCTGGGCTATATAGTGAGACACTGTGCTAAGAATAAACAAATGAACAAACAAATGAAAATTAAAATGGCACACTGCATTCCAATGAACTTTGGTTACAAAAAGAACAAGTTGGACAAATCTGAAAACCTAAAAATCACTGGGCAGCATGGCTCATGCCTATAATCCTAGCTACTCAGGAGGCTGAGATCTGAGAATTGTGATTTATTAAAGCCAGACGAGCAGGAAAAGTCTATGATACTCTCATCTCCAATTAACTCCCAGAAAACCAGAAGTGGTACTGTGGCTTAAGTGGTAGAGTGCTCACCATGAGCAGAAGAGCTGAAGGACAGTGCGCAGGCCGAGTTCAAGCCCCATAACCGACAAAAAAATAAATAAAAATTTAAAAATAAAAAAAACCTTTGTCTGCTGAACCTGACCTTAATATACTAAAAGCCAGAGAAAAAGAAAAATATTTAATAAAAAAAAGTCTTTTGGGGGCTGGGAAGGTGCTCAGTGGTAGAGAGGTTGCCTTGCATGCATGAGGCCCTGGGTTCGATTCCCCAGCACCACATAAGCAAAGAGAAAAAAAAAGCAGGAAGTGGCACTGTGGCTCAAGTGGTAGAGCGCTAGCCTTGAGCTGAAGAGCTGAGGGACAACGCCCAGGCCCAGAGTTCAGGACCCACAACTGGACCCAAAAAGCTGAGGGACAGGGCCCAGGCCCAGAGTTCAGGCCCTGCGACCAGACCCCCCCCCCAAAAAGTCTTGGATAGTATGATTGGTGAGAATAATAAAAACTATTCAGACTACCAATAATGCCTTTATGTCTTCTTCCTGACATTGCTGGAAGCTGAATGAGCTATGGTGATGTTCAAAAATGCCAAGTTAAGACAGGCTTGGGTGACTCACACCTGTAATCCTAGCTACTTAGGAGGCTGAGATCTGAGGATCATGGTTCAAAGCCAACCCAGGCAGGAACATCCATAAGACTCTTTTTTTGGGGTCTAGTCGTGGGGCCTGAACTCTGGGCCTGGGCACTGTCCCTCAGCTCTTCAGCTCAAGGCTAGCGCTTGAGCCTTTCCAGCTTTTTTCTTTTTGCTTATGTGGTGCTGAGGAATGGAACCAGGGCCTCATGCATGCAAGGCAAGCACTCTACCACTGAGCCACCTTCCCAGCCCTCCATAAGACTCTTATCTTCAGCTAACCACCAGAAAGATAGAAGTGGCATTGTGGCTCAAGTGGTAAAACACTCGCCTAAAGCTGAAGAGCTGAGGGACAGTGTCCAGGCACAGAATTCAAGGCCCACAGTCAACAAAAAAAAAAAAAAAAAAAACCAAGTTAGAGGATAACCTATCTCATAGTCTATAGGAGTACAATTATTAAATTACTAAATGCAATCTTACCATCTCTTTACTCAGCTGGAGAGCCACAAAAGTCACCACCCTTTTACTCACTGCCACTGTTATGCCAGACACTATGGTTTCCACACTGACATACCCATTTTTGTAAAGCTATCAACTGATTCAAAACTTACTTGGATACAAGTACTCATGACAGAGAAGTCTCAGCACCACACAAGCTGCATCATTAAGATGCCTCAGACAGGTTCAGACATTTTGAATAAAAACATCATTGACTCCTAAGCCAGAGTACTGAAAACACCTCAAACCCAGATACATAAGAGCTGGAACTTTGTATTCTGCCCTCCATCACTCCCAGTCTCCAAAAAGAAAAACAAGATGGAGGAGAACTGAAAGGCTTCCACACTACTGACCTGAAGTATGCTGAGAGAATAAAGGTGAGGCTCGGAAGCGCCTGAATCCACAATGGAAGATCAGTTCCTCTTTGGCTTTCACAGGTTCAGTGTTGCCAGGGCTCCGACTGACCACCATGTTCAATACTGACATCTGAGGACCAAGTAAGAAAAAAAGCTTCTAATCTAGGAATACAACAGCCTAACCTGAAAGAAGGCAAAGCAAACAAACATCAGATTCACTCTAAAACTTACAAGTACTAGTTAATGGTAGAGTGTAGATGATGACACAGAGTAACCCTTTATATCCATCAACAACTGTCATTAGCATGATCAAAGTTCTCATGCACTTGTTAGTTTACCTTCCCATATCTAACATAAAAGAGCTCAACTTCTGTCACAGTGCCTTTCTATTCATCTACACATTATGGCCTTCAAATCCTATTTATTCAAGCCTCTTCCTCAACTCTTACACCACCAACCAAAGGTCAGAGCAGTTGTCTCTACCCTAATGTGCACAATAAGTCATATAGACAAGAGGTCTAAACCATAGTATACCTTATATTTTTACTGCTGTTTGTTGTTGTTGTTGTTGTTGGGTTTGGGCACTGTCCCTCAACTCTTCAGCTCAAGGTTAGCACTCTACCACTTGAGTCACAGCACCACTTCTGATTTTTTCTGCTTATGTGGTGCTGAGAAATTGAACCGAGGGCCTCATCATGCATGCAAGGCAAGCACTCTACCACTGACCCACATTCCCAGCCCCTTACTGCTGCTGTTGTTATCTGAAAAACACTCCTATCTTGGAGAAGTCTCAGAACTACACCAAACTGCATCACTGAGATGCTTCAGACAGGTTCAGACATTTTGGGTATAACCATCATTGACTTCTCTGATTCTCTGATTACTAAATTACAAAGCCATAATCTTCATATCCCAATTAGCAAAACATCATGAACAGGTTGGAAAATTTTTTGTGATGCTACTTCCCACAGATACTAATTTACCTTCTGTTCATGAGGGAGCAAAGAAAATGCAATCAAGGGTGCTCCTTGTTTGAAGTATTCAACTACTGAGACAGGGACTTCAGAGACATGAAGTGTGACATACCAGCCGACCTGCCAGCAGGAAACAGAGATCACAGGATTACTCTTAAAGTCTCAATAATGACAGAACTTTTCTCCAAATTGTTAATCTCTCAGACTACATAAAACTAACCTTCCCCCTGAAAGATTCCCTCTAACAGATGCTTCAATTACTCAGATACAAGTCTCTCGGTTAATACAGCTGATTTAGCTGCAGGCAAGCACAAAACTAAATTAGATACTCATTCTCATGCCAAGAGAAGTAAAAAAAAAAAAAAAAAAAAAAAAGAAATAATAAACCGTTAGGGGTTGAAGCTGTGGCTCAGGTGTTAGGGTTCCACCAAAGCAGCAAATACAGAATTCAAGTCTTGGTCTTGGACCACCCCCACCCCAACCACCTGCCCCCCCCCCAAAAAAAAAGAGCAAGAGAAAGTAAAAGTGGTAGTATGATCGCAAACACTCACAACTTATAGGACACACAGGAAAGCAGATAAGATACCTCAGCTCCTTCAGCTTCTTTTTCCTCAATCTCTTTAAAGATACGTTTCCTAGTATTAATAAAGTTCTGAAACTGAAAGATCCGAGCATAGTCTTGAGGGAGGTTTTCCTTAGGATCCCATGGAGATGTCCGGAAACTCTTGAGGCCTCTATATTTCTGAAAGCTAGAATAGAAATTTCAAATATATGTAAGAGATTTATATGTGCTACATAAGATTCACATTAGGTCTAAAACAGCTAAGGAGCCAGACACCAGCGACTCGTGCCTATAATCCTAGGTACACACTAGGCTAAGACCTAGGGGATGGTGGTTCAAAGCCAGTCGGGGCAGAAAAGCCTGTGAGACTCTATCTCCAATAAACCAGCACAATGCCAGACTGAAGACATAAAAAGTGGCAGAAAACCAGCTATGAATAAAAAAGCCAAGTGAAAGGAGATCCTGAATTCAAACCCTGGTACTAGTAAACAAAACAAAAAGAACATCAAAAATGAGTCTGGTGCAAGTAACTCAAGCCTGTAATCCTAACTACTCAGGAGGCTGAGATCTGAGGATCTTTATTTAAAGCCAGACCCAGCAAGAAAGTCTATGAGACACTTTTTTTTTAAATCAGTCCTGGGGCTTGAACTCAGGGCCTGGGCACTGTCCCTGAGCTTCTTTTTGCTCAAGGATAGCACTCTACCACTTGAGCCATAGCACAGCACCACTTCCAGCTTTTTCTGTTTATGTGGTACTGAGGAATCAAACCCAGGGCTTCAAGCATGCTAACCAAGCACTCTACACTAAACCACATTCCCAGCCCCCATGAGACTTTTATCTTCAATTAGCTGTAGTTCAAGTGATAGAGCAAGAAAAGGCTCAGGGACAAAGACAGGCACCAAAAAACCAACCAACCACCAAACAACAACAAAAACACCACCATCTAAGGCTCTAGCTTAAAAAAAAAAACTAAACTAGGGCCAGGCGCGGGTGGCTCATGCCTGTAATCCTAGCTACTCAGGAAGCTAAGATCTGAGGATTGGGGTTCAAAGCCTACCCAGGCAGGAAAATCTATGAGACTCTTATCTCCAATTAACCACCAGAAAACAGGAAGTCGAGCTGTGGCTCAAGTAGTACAGCACTAACCTTGAGCTAAAGAGCTCAGGGACAGCGCTCAAGCCCAGAGTTCAAGCCCCACGATCAACCAAAAACAAAAATTGAGCTAGGCATAGATATGGCTCGGTGGTAAAGGCCCTGGGTTCAGGCCCCAAGGACACTCCCCATTTCCCCCCCAAAAAATCAAAAACAAACACTTGAGTACAATAATATATATTTGTAATCCTAGCATTCACAGTGCTAACAAAAGACAGAATGTACCAGGACAGCCCGAGCTACAGAGCCATAACCTGTCTCAAAACAGGAGCTGGGAAGGTGGCTCAGTGGTAGAGCGCTTGCCTTGCATGCCTGAGGCCCTGGATTCGATTCCTCAGCACCACATAAGCAAAAAAGAAAAAAGCAGGAAGTGGCGCTGTGGCTCAAGTGGTAGAGAGCGCTACCCTTGAGCTGAAGAGCTGAGAGACAGCACTCAGGCCTTGAGCTGAAGAGCTGAGGGACAGCGCTCAGGCCCCACGATCGGACCCAAAAAAAAAAAAAAAATAGGGAAACTCAGGTGCCAGTAGCTCATGCCTATAATCTTAGCTACTCAGAAGGCTAAGACTTGAGGATCAAAGTTCCAAACCAGCCTATTTTATCTCTAATTAATTACCAAAAAAGTGGGGCCAGTGCCTGTGGCTCACGCCTATAATCCTAGCTACTCAAGAGGCTGCGATCTGAGGACTGAGGTTCAAAGCCAGCCCAAGCAGGAAAGTCCGTGAGACTCTCATCTCCAATAAACCACTAGAAAACCGGAAGTGGCCCTGTACCTCAAGTGGTAGAGCACTGGCCTTGAGCTGAAAAGCTGAGGTATAGAGCCAAAGTCCAGAGTTCAAGCCCCACGACCGACCAAAAAAAAAAAAAAAAGCCACAAGTGGAGTAGCCTTGAGCAAAAAAAGCTCAAGAACAGTGCCCAGGCTGACTTCAACCAAAAACAAAACAAAGACCCCAAAGAGGATCAGGCATAGTAGATAATGCCTATAACCCCAGCTACTCAGAAAGTGAGAAACAGAAGAATCCTCATGGGCCAAAGAATCTTCATGGGCCAAATGGCTTAAGGTTAACCCAAGCAAAATCAGTTCCTAAGATCCCATCTCGTCTGTACATCATCACCCTTAACATAAGGTCAGGCACAGATGCAGGTACAACTGTTGTCTGAGGCCAACCAAGGTAAAAACAGGAAACCTTACTTGAAAAATAACTGAAAAAGAAAAAAGGCCAGGAATGTGGTTTAAATGATAGGGCACTTGCCTACCCGAAAGGAAAACAGGAAAGAGATAATGATAAGAAAGAAAAGGGGAAAGGAATTCTAATTGTCATTTCTAAAAAAAAAAAAAAATCTAATCTAGCATAAACAAAATAAACCTTTCCTCTTCACAAAACAGAAAAAAAAATCTAACTCTAGAATTCATACTCTAGAAATAACTTGTAACAAGTATTTCAGAACCAAACCCAAACTTCTTACTGGGGATAAAGTATTTAGAGTGGCATCCTGGTGCCTGACAGGGAATGGCTCTTTAACCAGATAAACTACATCTTTGGCAATAGCCTTAACCACTTAATATCCAACATTACTCACTGGCTTCAGATTCCAATTCAGAACAGACAAGATCATCTTTCATGCCTTTACTTTGTTGTCCTGCCACACGTTTCCCAAACCTACAAACATTATACTTCAACTGAGTATTAGCTTCTGTTGTCATTGCTTCTGCTTGTCATTTCAAGAGGCTAAGATATGAGGATCAAGGTTCAAAGCCACCTGGGCAGACAAATCTGTGAAAATCTTATCTCCAGTTAACCAGGAAAAGGCTGAGAGTGTAGTTGGATGCCAGTGGCTCATGACTGTAATCCTATTCAGGAGGCTGAGATTTGAAGCTACCCAGCGTGAAAGTCCATGAGACTCTTACCGTCAATAAACTATTCAGAAAAAGCCAGCGGTAGAGCTGAGTCTCAAATGGTATAGTACTATCCCTGAGCAAAAGAAGCTCAGAACAGTACCCAGACCCTGAGTTCAAGCTCCAATAATTGAGTAATCATATAATACTAGTCTTTACCACAGATCATATATTAATTTCCCTTTCTGACACAGAATATTAACCCTTCAGGAGCAAACACAACATCTTTCTCTCTATTATAACATGGTTCTGAGCCATAGTTTTTAAATAAAAACTTATTATTTCACTTGAGAATTATGGACGAACCGCACTCTGGCAGCCACATCACGGGGGGTATCCATTTCATCAGGAAACATCTCTTCTAATCTTTCTTGTTTATATTTCTCCAGCATTTTTTCCTCAGCCTCTTCATCCACTTTCTCATCATACAGATCATCACGCACAGACTCCCCTGTTGTCAGCGTTTCACATTCCTCCTCATCTTCCTCTTCAGCACTCTCAACCTATAAAAGGACTGCAGTTATCTCACAAGAAATCCATCCACCTCTACCCCAAAGCCAGGAAGCTAATTTCCCTGGACACCTAACTAACCAATAATCTTCATCTCTATTCTAACAGTGATTAAGTCATTAAAAAAAATCTCATTCTTTGTGATCAGTCATTACTAAGAAAATGACAGCAATGTCAAGACTGCACACCACCTAGTACTGAGCACTGTGTATATAAGTGGTCTAATGATCCAATTCCTTACCTGAGAGTCTTCTTCCATAAAATCCTCATGTTCCATGTCATACTCATCTCCTTCCCCATCACTTCCATCACCTTCATCCAAAATCCATTCAGCTTGGTAACTGGATGTTCCTTTGGGAACCTTCTTTACCACCTTAGAACTTTGCTTCACAGAATCTGTAAAAGCCAAAACAAGTTATAAACCTCCCAACAAATTATGGACCTCCTTTGCCCTGGGTCTTCTTAACTCCAGAAGATGCTGGACACTTCTGTCAACATGTGTACACATTAGTAGACAGGTAAGTAGAGCAGACTTTCAAATTTAACTCAACTGCCTCACAATTAGCAATACCTACACAGCTAAGTTGTTTCAGTACATCTACAGTTGTTTATCTGTTCATTATAAAATAATGCAATGTCAAGAAATGGAACAAAGTTGCATCCACTGTTTGCTTAGTGCAATCTACAGCATTTGGGGATACGGGAAATGACGGAACTTCAATGTTATTCTCATCCTATTCTACCCTACATAGGGTGTGAGCAGCTACCCTATAAGCAACTAGACAAAAATCCACAATTCCAGGTCAGATAAATAACAAAGAAGTCTGTTACTACTACCAACCATCTGCCTCATTCAGTTCCTCCTCAGTGGGCCAGGTCTGCTCCCCTTCCATTGGATCTGGGATGACCTCTGCTTGCAAAGATTCCTGTTTATTGGGGTCTGCCTTCATTAGGATCTTAAGATCTTCTTCCATATTAACCACAGCATCTACAGCACAAATCTGAAAAACAAAAGCAGGTCTAGCCAGTCAAACATTAACCAAAAGTATACTTAAACACAGCAAGCAGTAAGATTCAGAAACCTATCAGTCCTTATGCAGACAAATCAAAACATAACCAAGGGTATTTTCAAATGGCTGTTTCCATGTCAAATGGCATCTTAACTCTACACTTCTGCTCAGCTCTTGAGGCCTTTCATAATCTTATCCATACTGTACCTAGTTCTCATTCCTATCAAGCTGTTGTCTCCATTCTTTCACCTCCGTTTTACCTTAAGCCACACTCATCCTACTCCACATTTAGCTGATTTTCCTTCTGCTTTGCCTGTCTATTTCCTCAACTTCTACAGTAGGTCCATATGATAACCTAACTTCAACCTTTACTTCACTGGCATTTGCCCTTTTTTTCTAATCCAACTAAGTTCTTTGAGGAGTGATCACATACTGGGTCCCCTTCTATAAACTCAGTCAACTGTGTGCAGGACAGCTAGAAAGTAATATATATATAATTGATCAACATACTAAAAAGTAATATATATAATAGACCAACATACTTGTGGACTATCTTTTCTGGATTTAAATTTCCATCATGTGCCAACTTGCACAAAAATCCATAATACAGGTTGAGTGGTAAAATGGTTGTCTAGCATTCATGAGGTCCTAGGTTTGATCTTCAGCATTGACAGGGGGGCAGGGGAACAAAAAGAAAAACAAAATACAAAAGCATCAATCTCACCTCCATTGCCATGCTTGAGTCCTTCTGGGACTTATTCACTCTAGTATTTAAGGGGAAAGGATCCATGGGAGCATCTATCTGTTTCATTTGGAAGTCTCCATATCCAACAATATGCAGCAAGCTATTTACATTCAGAGTCCTCCCACGAACATAACCCGAGATTTTCAAGGTGCCCACAGAGTTATTCTCTTCACTAGGCACAAAATCAGCAGCATGGGCAAACAGGTAGGCCCTCCGATCTCGAAAAGCAAGATGCCGTTGCTTTTGGTTAGCCAACTGTCTAAGCAGCATGCTTGCCTCCTGTTGGGTGTCTAACAAGAGTAGTTTGTCATCAGGAAAGCGCTTCTCCACTACTTTATTTAACTTCTTTTTGGCATCTATTTGTTTCTTCAGTGGGAGGCCAGAAACCCCCTGGACAGCTAGTGCTGAAAGCAAAAGAGAGGGCTTTGTAACTTACTGCTTACATGAAAATCCTCTTGCAATTCAAATAAGCCAACAGGTATGTGATCCCAGAGATCACTGAGAAAGTCAACCCTTGGCCACCCTAAAGAAATGTCACAATGCCGGGTGCCGGTGGCTCATGCCTGTAATTCTAGCTACTCAGGAGGCTGAGACCCAAGGATCAAAGCCAGCCCGGGCAGGAAAGACTGTGAGACTCCTATCTCCAATAAACCACTAGAAAACTGGAAGTGGTGCTGTAGCTCAAGTGGTAGAGCGCTTGCCTTGAGCTGAAGAGTGCAGGGACAGCACCCAAACCCAGAGTTCAAGCCCCACCATCAAAAAAAAAAAAAAAAAAGAAAGAAAGAAATGGCACAATGATGCTGGCATTGGTGGCTCATGACTATAATTCTAGCTACTCAGAAGACTAAGATCTGAGGATAGCACTTCAAAGCCAGCCCAGGCAGAAAGTGACTCCTGTGATAGAGCACTAGCCTTGAGCAAAAAAGCCCTGGACCTGAGTTCAAGTCCCAGGACTCACACGCATGCAGGCACACACACACATACACATAAGAAAGAAGGGGGCTGGGAATGTGGCTCAGTGGTAGAGCGCATGCCTTGCATGCTGGAGGCCCTGGGTTCAATTCCTCAGCACCACATAAGCAAAAAGAAAAAAGCAGAAAGTGGCGCTGTGGCTCAAGTGGTAGAGCACTAGCCTTGAGCTGAAGAGCTGAGGGACAGCGCCCAGGCCCAGAGTTCAGGCCCCATGACCAGACCCCCCAAAAAAAAGAAGAAAGAAGGCTGGGAAGATAGCTCAGTGGTAGAGTGCTTGCCTTGCATGCCTCAGCACCACATAAGCAAAAAAAGCCAGAAGAGGCGCTGTGGCTCAAGTGGTAGAGCACTAGACTTGAGCTGAAGAGCTGAGGGACAGTGCCCAGGCCCAGAGTTAAGCCCCACTACTGACCAAAAAAAAAGAAATGTCACAACAAAACTTCACATTCTTCTTCCTCTTGGCAAATGTCAGCTCAGAAATAAAATAGGACCTTAACTGACAATTCATAAGTGATCAAATTTAATGTCTGCATATACATTCTACCAGCAATATAATCCATCATATATATTCCTGAATCAAATGCCAAGCTAAGTGCTTGAACAGCTATAGGTACACAATGAACAATTATTTACTTTTTTCCTAGCCTCCAATATGCCAACTCACTTACTGTAGGTGGGAAGGCCCTGAGCAAAGAGGCAGGAAAGGCAGTAATCTCCAGTGCTGTCCCAAGCTTCTAGTGGATCAAGGAGAAACAGGATGGTATCAGCCACTTTAGCCAGGTCTAACACAGTGTGCAGATCCCCTGGAGATAGAAGACACAGAAAAGGTACAGAACATTATTCTCAGCAAATATTACCTAGCCCTCTGAAGGCTGTGATAAAAGGGCCACCAGTTCAAGGTCAGCAGAGTGACAACTTGCCTACCATGGGCAAGACCCTGCGTTTGATTATAAGCACCACCTAAGTTTAAAAAAAAAAAAAAAAAAAAGGAAAGAAATTTAAGCTATTTATATTTAACAGGAGAATATTATATGCTCTAACCTGGCTTTGCAAATGTGAAAAACCACCGATGTTTCAATTGTGGGCACAGTAGCATAAAGCTGTGAGTGTTTCCACATTCATTGAAGCATACTGTTCCCAAGTCTCCATCCTGAAGCAGTCCCAAGACCTCAGGCAGGGAAATCCTGTTGTGCAGAGGCACCACCAGCACCTGATGGGGAGGCCCATCCTTGCTGCCCAAATGTCTCTTCTCTGCCAGAACCTGAGAAAAGAAATAGTCAGAAAACTATGCTCCAGTATTACATTTCCAACAGTATGGCCAGCGGCAGCCTGGTACCAGCCTCCTTGCCACAGGCCCCCAAGTATGGGGGAAAGCCTGCAGGTCATCTCAGACTCTAACAGAATCTACACCAAGGCTGGGAATGTGGCTTGGTGGTAGGAGTGCCTATCTAACATGCTGAAGCACTCAGTTCAATATCTCAGTACCACATAAACAGAGAAAGCAAGAAGTGGCACTGTGGCTCAAGTGGTAGAGTGCTAGCCTTGAGCACAAGAAGCTCAGGGACAATGTCCAGGCCTTTAGTTCAAGCCCCAGGACTGGCAGAAAAAAAAAAAAAAAAAAAGAATGCAAACCAGAGCTGGGCACCGAGCATGCCTATAATCCTAGCTACTCAGGAGGCTGAGATCTAAGGATGGCAGTTAGAAGCCAGCCCGGGCTGAAAAGTTCCCATGAGCCAATTTACCACTCAAAAAAACGGGAAATGGAGCCATGGCTAAAAGTAGTAGAGAGCTAGCCTAGGGCTAAAGAGCTCAGGGAAAGCACCCAGGCCCTGAGTTCAAGCCCCACAACCGACCAAAAAAAAAAAAAAATCTAGACCAGTAAGTAGTGTAGGCCCAACTTGTGCATTTTCCATCTCCGGCCCGTCCCAGAGTCCCATCTTCTAGTTCATACCATCATCCTTGTATAATGGTAGTAAATCCGCAGCATGTCCCCAACCCAATTCTCCTTACCGCCTCCTTCTTCTGCTTTCGGAGTTGGCTGGCGCGATGTCTCTGGTCTATTCTGCTCAGCTCTTTTTTCACCTTCTTGCACAGGATTTTCATTTCTAGGCGGCCTGGAGAGGAGACCAGATGGGGCTGTTGTGTCTGGATCGGAAGATAAACAGAGGCCCCCTCTCTAAGCCCACCGCCCCACGGGCCTTTGCCCAGTCCCAGGCCTGACTATAGCAGTGCAGACGCAAGGAAAAGCGGTTACCAGTTAAACGGTCCTTCTACCTGCCCTGTCTCCTCACCTTTGCCATCTCGCTGTGCCGACCCTCGACCCCGATGCCGCCCGCCTTTATGAGGCTTATTCTGCTGTTTTAGCGGGCCGGAGCGGTGAGCCGCCATGCCGCCGTCCGCGTGCTCCAAGCCCGCACTACTTCCGGGCCGCGCGGAGTGTTTCCGGCCCCTCCCTCTAGAGGGCCCCTTCCGGGGGCGGGGCTTCCACGCGTTGTGCTGAGGGCTTTTCAACCCATCTGTCAGTCTCAGTGGAACCGCGGTGGGAACTTTTCAGACGTTGCACTCTGCGGCTGACGACTTTAAAACTCCCCTTGTAGCCGGGCACGGGTGGCTCACGCCTGTAATCCTAGCGACCCAGGAGGCTGAGATCTGAGGATCGTGGTTCCAAGCCAGCCCGGGCAGGAAAATCCGTGAGACTCATCTCCACCAAAAAGCCAGAAGTGGAGCTGTGGCTCAAGTGATGGAGCACAAAAGCTCAGGGACATTGCCCAAGTCTTGGGTTCAAGCCCCAGGACTGGCACCGAAAAGAAAAAGACAAAAGGAGCCGATATACTGCCAACTCCGGCTCTTATTCCAGAAGGGCGGTTTTGTGTCCACTTCTCTTCTTTTTTCTTCCTCTCTCTCTCTCTCTTTCCTCCTTCCTCTCTCTCTTTCTTTTTGCACTATTACATGGCAGCACGTAGTAAGATGTTGAATGGAAGGCTACTTGTGCACGAGACGCCTAAGCCCCTCTCACGTAAGATTCGGGCGCGCCGCTCTATATTGACAACAAAAGGCGTTCTTTACTGCTGAGCAGCCTTTTCCTTTCCCAAAACACCCTTTACATTCGAGGGCAAGTCGCAGGGAAGGCGCTTCACTCGCCTCATTAGCTCCATACAAGTTCCCGCCGGTCCGTTTACAATCGGCACCTCATTTCTCACAAAGCGGTTACCAGGACCAGACAGGATGTGGAGAGCCCTGCGAAGGGTGTGGGTGTGTTGGGGGGTGGGCGGGGAGGGGGGCCATGACCCTCCTGCCTTCTGGCTCCTCTTCTCCAAAACCAGCAGCTGCCTTCCCACTCAACTTCCAACAAGCTTTGCAACTGAGCAACCGCTGACCGTGGGACTCGGAGGCGACCTGGGACCGGGAGACAACGCTAGCGTCCCCCGTGGGCAGATTCGAGCCTTAGTGCCGGACCCGGTCCTCCCAGCTCCGCGGGTGGAAATTGGGGAGGCATCTATCAGAATTGAGGCTCAGCCTCAGGGTCCAAAGTCTGGCTGGACCGTGCAGTGCGGGACTGGCTACCGGCGCTCACAATGCGAGTTTGCGCCCTCCCGGAGGGAGCAGGCGCGTTGCCATGACAGCGGCCCCCGGGCCCGCCGCCCCCAGGCGCGCGCAGCCTCCCCGCGCCCCGACCCCCGCCCCTTCGCTGTGCGCACCCCCCGCCCCGCCCCTCCCGACTGTGGGAAGGGGCCGGGCCTGCCGCCTGACGTCGGTGCGGGGCTCGGAAGATGGCTGCGGAGCCGAGCACCCGGCAGTGGCTGCGGCGGCGGCGGCGGCAGGCGGGGAGGGCGGCGGGAGGGGGCTCCGCCTTGCGCGTGGGGCGCTGAGCTGAAAGGCTCGGAGGTGGCGAGGGCGAGCGGGGGACTCAGGGGGCATTCGGTGCCGCCTCTCCGCCACCGTCCGCACCATGGGCAGCGCAGAGGACGCAGCCAAAGAGAAACTGCTGTGGAACGTAAAAAAGGAGGTAAAGTCGGGGTGCGGACCCCAGCGCCTGGGGGGGGGGACGGCTCGCGCCACGCCCGCGCGGCCCGGGGACCCGGAGGTCCGCACCCACCTTCGGGCTGCGGGCACCTGACGGCCAGGCCTGGGCCGGGCGGGGGCGGGGTCCCGGGGACAGGTGGCACCCCAGGGCTTGTTTGCTTCGCGCTCCCGCAGCTCCCCGCCCTGTGACGGCAGCAGTCCCGGGAGACCGAGGTCGCGGGAGGGGTGGCGGCGGTTTCTGAAGAGCCGGAGCTTTGCCCATTCATTCCCGGTGCCATCGAGGGAGAGGGCGGGCCCCCGCGGGCATCCTGTGCGGGTGATGGGGTGGGAGGGGTGCTTGGATCCCGCTGAGGGCGTCCGACCACCCCCCTTCGCTATCCCTGAGTCGTGGCTGCCTGATTTGCTGCACTCTCTCTCTTCTCCCTCCACGCCCACCTCTTTACCCAGGAACCGGGGGTTTAAGAATGGTGTTTTTAGACTCGATTTTTTTTTTTCCTCCGCTTTTGAGGGAAGCCCTCACGTCAGAAAGAAGAGTCCTCCTCCGTACTAACTCCCTTACCTTGACCCTGCTCAAAAGCCCATTTTCATTTCAGTGTGTGTGGGGGGGGGGGGTGGTGGACGACACGTATGAATGACTCACCAGCCTGTGAGAGAGCTCAAGCCTGCAGAGTAGATGAAATGAATGAGGCCTCCTTTCCCCCACTGCTTTGGTGGCTAGATCTGCCAGATGTGTGAACTCCATGAGGGCAGGGAACCTGTCCGCTTTGTTCACTATGCTCTAGCCAGTACCTGGCACACTTACAGGCACACAGTGACTATATGTAAATAAGCCTGCTGATCTTGGAAACTGAGAACTGGTAGAATAGAACTTTGGAATAGCCTGAATCTACTTCTGTGTGACCTTAAGTAAGTTACTTAACCTCTCTGAGCCTGGATTTCTTCACACACACCCCCTTTAAATATGCTATTTTTTTCGGGGGGGGGGGTGTCCGGTCATGGGGCCTGAACTCTGGGCCTGGGCACTGTCCCTCAGCTCTTCAGCTAAAGGCTAGTGCTCTACCACTTGAGCCACCGCGCCACTTCCGACTTTTTTCTTTTTTTTGGTTATGTGGTGCTGAGGAATCAAACCAAGGGCCTCATGCATGCAAGGCAAGCGCTCTACTACTGAGCCACCTTCCCAGCCCCCATACCCCCTTTAAATAGGGATAATGCTATCTCATTTATTTAAAAATTACCATATTGGTTCTCTTACATCTTAGAGTTTCAGGTGGGGCAAGACTCTGGGTTCTCATAAAATCCTGGAAAACTCTTCATAGTTCATTACTGTGGGTTAGCTACTATGCCCTATTAGTTACCTTTCCTTTCCTTGGCATTAGCCCTCTCCTTCCCATCTTGTGTGAGAAGCTTTATTGTGCTTTTGTTGTGAAGTGGCCACATGAGGGTTTCCTAAGCTAGGGGTCTATCAAATCAGCATTAAGCCTCAGCCCCGATCTCCCCAAATTAGTAGAGTGTTGCCTAGCATGCATGAGGCCCAGGTTCAATTCAGTCCCAACCTCTGGGAGGAAAAGAGAAAGAAAAGAAAAAAAAATAGTCACTGATTATCTCCAGAAAGAAAGTAGTCTAGTGACAGAGACTTCCAAGAAGAGTATGAACAAAAGCAGGAAGGGAGTCATACCCAAACATTTAAGACAAATGTGATTAAACATTTGCTGCAATTAGTGCAATCCAAATTTGAGGGTTGATTAGGCATACTAGGAAAGATTTTTCAGAAAACAATGATTTTTTTCTCCAATACTTAGAAGACAATATTAGTCCAACAATGATTCTTAAAAAACAAAAACAAAAAAAAACACAAAAAGCTCGGGCTGGGAATGTGGTTTAGTGGTAGAGTGCTTGCCTAGCATGCATGAAGCCCCGGATTCTATTCCTCAGTAATACATACACCGAAAAAGCTGGAAGTGGTGCTGTGGCTCAAGTGGTTAGAGTGCTAGCCTTGAGCAGAAAGAAGCTCAGGGACAGTGCCCAGGCCCTGAGTCCAAGCCCCAGGACTGGCAAAAAAAAAAAAAAAAAGATGGGAAGGGATGGGAAGGGGAAACAAAGCAGGAGGCAACAATGCTTGATAAGAAATGTACTCATGGGGCTGAGAAGGTGGCTCAGTGGTAGAGCACTTGCCTTGCATGCATGAGGCCCTGGGTTCGGCTGAAGAGCTGAAGGACAGCGCTCAGGCCCAGAGTTCAAGCTCCATGATGGACAAAAAAAAAAAAAGAAAGAAATACACTCATTACCTTGCCCATGTAATTGTAACCCCTCTGTATGGTATTTTCACAATACATTAAAAAAAAAAAAAAAGCCAGAGTAGTTTTGTGAATACAAGTGGTAGAGTGCTAGCTAGCTTTGAACAAAAAAAGCCCAGGGACAGAGTGCAAACCCTGAGTTCAAGCCACAGGACTGGCATAAAAGGAAAAAAGAGAGACTCTTCAATTAAAAAACCCAAACTGGGGGGCTGGGAAGGTGGCTCAGTGGTAGAGCGCTTGCCTTGCATGCCTGAGGCCCTGGGTTCGATTCCCTAGCACCACATAAGCAAAAAGGAAAAAAGCCGGAAGTGGCGCTGTGGCTCAAGTGGTAGAGCGCTAGCCTTGAGCTGAAGAGCTGAGGGACAGAGCCCAGGCCCAGAGTTCAGGCCCACCACTGGACTCCAAAAAAAAAAAAAAAAAAACTGGGGGCTGGGAATGTGGCTCAGTGGTAGAGTGCTCACCTGCGCCCAGGTTCAGAGTTCGATCCCCAGGACCGACCAAAAAAAAAAAAAAAAACCCTAACTAGAAATGTGGCTCAAGTGATAGAGCACCACTGTGAGCAGAAAAAGTCAAAGGAGAATAAGGTCCTGAATCTGAGCCCCAGCACCAATAAGTGCCCATGCTCGTGCATGTATGCGTGATCTTCCCCCCCACAACCTGAAGCATGTCCAGAATATGGCACAACTGTATAATGTGTCTTCATTATAGATCTACCTGCTTTCAGTTTCATGTATTTCCCCCTTCAGTGCTTGGTTTACAGAAAAAATATATATATAATATACATATATATATATATCCAACCCAACCACCAGTGACTCAAACCTGTAATCCTAGCTATTCAGGAGGCTGAGATCTTAGAATTATGATTCAAAGCTAGCTCCAACAGGAAAGTCCATGAGACTCTTATCTCCAATTAATGACCAAAAAGCCAGAAGTGGAGCTGTGGCTCAGGTGGTAAAGCGCTAGCCATGAGCACAAAAGCTCAGGGACAGTGGTCCAGGCCTTGAGTTCAAGCCCCAGGTTCAGAACAGAAATGCAAAGAAAAAAACATATCCTTTCTCTCTACAAGAAGAGACAACCAGCCGGGCGCTG